GCCGGCGAGCCCGCCGGAGGAGACCGGCGGCGGCGGCCACGACCCGAAGCTCTTCGCGTTCTGGAAGAAGACGGACGCTTTCGACTACGAGGTGTCGCTCGCGCGGCCGCTGGGCATCGTCTTCGAGGAGCTCGGCCCGCCGAACCGGCCGCAGGGCGTCAAGGTCATCGAGGTCCAGCCCGAGTCGAACGCGGCCAAGGACGGCGGCGTCGGCGTCGGCGACGTGCTCGTCGGCGTCACGGCCGTGCGCTACATCGGCGGCGACTACCTCGGCAAGGCGCGGCCCGAGCGGGACATCTTCCCGGCGGACGCGATGGACTTCGACACCGTCGTCGACGCGATCTCGTCCAACGAGGAGCCGGAGTGCAAGGACGTCATCCTCCGCTTCCGCAAGGCGTAGGAGCGTAATGGACGCTGCTGTGTACTGGGAGCTCCCAAAGCACCCCTCGCTCAATTTACGGCCGCGCGCGCGGCCTCGAGCCGCTTTTCCTGGACGCGCTGGAGGTAGGCGCCGGGCTTGGCGATCTCGTCGCACTTGAACTGGCCGACGCGCTTGTCGCCGCACATCGTCGGGTCCACGGGCTCCGGCGCGACGTAGCCCTCCGGCGCCGGCTCCTTGGCGGCGACGGCGGCCTTGGCCTCGGCGCGCGCGCGGAGCACGTCCGAGAGCGCGAAGGCCTTCTCCTTGCGCGCCTTGTTCGACTCCGTGAACTCGAAGGAGAGGCGCCGGAACGGCGGCGCGTACCAGTTCTCGCCGGGCTCGACGGGGAACCAGTAGCGCGGCGTGAAGGTCCGCAGCTCCTTCTCCTTGGCGTCGTTGAGCACGAGGAGGCCGAGGCGCTGCATCTCGTTGACCTCGTTCTCCGCGAGCTTGAACCGGGCGCCGTTCGGCGCGTAGACGATGTCGACCTCCGTCCGGCCGTAGCCGCCGAGGAGCGTCTCGACCTCCTCCTCCGACAGCGACACCTTCTCCACGGGCGGAAAGAGCGCCGGTCCCAGCGCCGCGCGCGCCGGCTCCGCGGCGGCGGCGGTGGCGCCCGTCGCCGCGGCGCCGAAGAGCGCGCGTCGCGGCACGGCGAGCGCCGATGCGCTCGCAGCGATGCAGCAGAGCAATTGCAGCATTGCGAGCATGAGCAGCGCGATGCGAGAGCGCGAGAGCAACGCGCGGCGCAGCTGCAGAGCTCGGATCGCAGAGCTCGCGCCCTGAAAGTCAAGGTGCCGTCAACACCGCCCCAGGCGTCGGTTGTCTCGCGGGCGCGACGAGGTGTGGGGCAGCCTTTTTCGAACGCGGCCATGAAGGTGCTCGTGGAGGTGGAGAAGATGAAGATCATGGTGCCCTGCGGCGCCGGCGAGCAGAAGATGAAGTGGCTCGGCCTCGTCGCCGCCCAGCGCCACGCGCTGGCGCTGCCCCACGGGAAGACGCGCGCGCGCGAGGAGAGCGACGAGAAGCGGGGCTTCTTCCTGCCCAAGGACGTGCTGAGCGACCGGGGCGGCTCCCTGGACCCCGACATGGTCATCAAGGACGTGCTCGGCGACGGCGACCGCGTCACCGTGGAGCTCCAGACCGTGGTCGAGGTCGACGACATCGGCGCGCCGATCATGAGCCCGTGGCAGACGAAAGCCTTCGCGGCGACGGGCGCCGCTTCCGAGCGGCGCGCGCGGGGCATCGCGAGCCGCGCGGCCATCGCCGAGCACGAGGCCGAGATCAACGCGGAGGTCCAGCGCCGCGTCCGCGAGGACGAGCGGTACCAGCGCGCGCACGAGGCGGCCGCGCTCGCGGAGGTGACCCAGGCCGGCGGCTACAACGTCGTCGTGACGGGCCACCTCGAGACGGCGGAGGAGTCCGCCGCGGCGCTGGACCTCGACTGGCCCGCGCTCTCCGAGAGTTTGAAGGATTTGCGGTGCTTCCCTTCGGCGACGGCGAAGGAGGCCTTCAAGGAGGATTTGCGGACGTCCTACGGCGACCTGAACCGCATCTTCGTCCACTACGCGGGTCTCGGGCGCATCGGCCAGCAGCACGGCGTGAGCCTCAGCGAGTTCTGCCACTACGCGCACATCTCGCGCCTCGCGCGCCACGCGGACAAGTCGAACGCGTCGACCGAAAAGCAGGAGCGGAACCGCATCCTGTCCTGCTTCGCGTCGGCCTGCGCGCGGCGCGTCGACGCCGCCGCCGAGGCGAAGAGCAAGTCGCGGCGCCGGTCCTTCAGCGAGGCGCGCGGCGCGGGGCTCGACGTGCCCGAGGACGACGGCTCGCCCGTCGTCCGGCTGCTGAGCCGCGCGGAGTTCGTCGCCGCGCTCGTGCACCTCGCGCTGAACATCACGCCGGGCGCGCCGACGCTGCTGGACGAGGTGCTGGAGCGCGAGGAGCAGCTCCGCGAGGACACGTCGACGTCCCACGGCGCGGGCAGTCACCCGTCGACGGGCCGCGGGCCGCCCGGCGGGCCGGACCGGTCGCACGACGGGTCGCCGCGCGGCGCGAGCCGCCACGCCCACGTGCGCGCCGCCGCCGTGCCCGAGTCGCCCATGGCGGCCCTCGAGCACCTCCTCGCGAAGCACGTCGCGCCGTTCCTCAACGCGCGCAAGGTCGGCGGCGTCGGCGGCGGCGAGGGCGTGTTGCTGAGCGCGTTCGACGGCCGCACGGTCCAGGACGCGGTCCAGGTCCAGCGCGTCCACCTCAAGCGCGTCTTCGACTACTACGCGCGCCTGCCCCGCGACGCCCGCGCCGAGACGCCCGACGGCCCGCCCGCGCGCGCGGGCCTCGCGCCGCCGGCCGACGACGGCGGCGGCGACCCGCCGCTCGTCGACATCAACGAGTCGGACCCCGCGCTCTGCCTGCCGGCCTTCAAGAACATCCTCAAGGACAGCGGGCTGATGGAGCTCCTCTTCACCGAGGACCACGCCAGCGAGAAGCTCGACAAGGTCTCCATCTCCGCGTTCCTCGCGGTCCAGAACGACCCGAACTTCAACCTCGAGCTCGACGACCTCGTCTTCGTCGAGTTCCTCGAGGCCTACTGCCGCGTCGCCAACGACATGCTCGACGCGAGCGGCCTCGACACGAAGCTCCTCCTCGGCATCGACATGCTCTGCGAGCTGTCCCTCAACCTGCCCTAGGGGAGGGTAAGGCTGAGTTGCTCGGTTTCCCTTTGATTGAAGTAGCCTTGAAGTGGCCTCGAGGTGGGCTGCGCCTGCTGGAGAGCGTCGCTCGCGGGGCCTGCGAGGCCGACGCGCTCTCTCCGCGAGTTCTGTGCGATGCCGCGCGTCGATGCGCACACTCTCGTCGAGCACTTCGCCTTCCTGCGCCTGGATTCGGACACGCGCAGAAACGTCCTGAGTTACCTCTTGTCCGCCTCTCCGGACGCGCCAGCCCGGGCCATCGTGCGCGAGAAGGAACTGTGTATCGAGGAGGACCGCCGCCCCCACATCATCGGCAACGTGCCTGTGTCGGCGGCGGCGGCGTGCGATCTCCTCGTCTTCCACAGACGGGTCCAGCTCCCATAAACAGAAGCAACATCGTCGGAAATCCGGAAAAGTACATTTACGGTCGCTACGACGCCAGGGACGCCTGGTCTTACCCCGGGGACGCAGAGCCGAAGCCAGAGGCGTCGACGGACGCCATTTGCGCCGTCGGCCCCGGCCCCGGTCGGTCGGCCGGCCGGCCGGCCGGCCGTCGTCGTCGTCGTCGTCGTCGTCGTCGTCGTCGCGCGCGCGCGCGCGCGTGGAGATTATAGCGGAGAGCAAGTCCATGGCTTCCTCGGACATGTTCTAGACCACCTCCATGCGCAGCGCCCAGGCACCGGTTTTGGTCTGGAGCGCCTCCTTGCCGCGCGAAGCGCGGGAGAAAAAAATCGGCGGGATCCAGCGCGCGTAGCGGTGCAGAACTGGCGCAGCTGCATGTGTCGCTCGCGCACGGCGTGCAAGCGATCGCGCCCTC